AATTTTAATAATAATAAGTTTGATATCCCGGATCTACATAACAAATTTCTATCGTTGATCGGCGGACCACCAATTAATAGTGTGTGTGACCTCCTTTGTTTTGTTTTCATCCGAGTATATACCATTATATCAGGAAAGTTTATATAACATTTTTTTGTTCAATGTTGGCAAACTACAATATCCTACGATGCGTGGGAACTGCTTCACTTACTGTGGACCTCCTTCGATCGATGTTTGGAAAGTAGGCGTCATGCTCCTGCTAGGATCAGCTTAGCAGATGAGATTGGCAACTCCTTTCCAGTATATTAGACTTAATGCCTCCCTACGATGCGTGGGAACTGCTTTGCTTACTGCAAACCTCCCTCGGTCGATGTTTGGAAAGTAGGCGTCATGCTCCTGCTAGGATCAGCTTAGCAGATGAGATTGGCAACTTCTTTCCAGAGATCATTATGTCTATGCCAACAATTTCTTTTTAAAAGACATTAACTTTTTACTAAAAATGTTTATTATTATTTAGCATGAAAATTTCAGATGAGATCAGCAATTACTTTAGGGAAACAAACTATTCGAAATGGTGCATCATAGATTGTCTAGATTCTATTGAAAAAAATTATACAATGGTGACATCCGAAAATCGTGAGGATATCATAGCTGAATTTAAACATCAGCTTCAATTAACAAGTACACATTGTTCAATAAATAAAAATGCACGGGATAAAGCTACAAAACTTTATAATGACGTAGAAAGAATTTTCCAATTCAAAGAGGCTACAGCAATTTTCAACAGAATGGATAAAAAGGTAAGAAATAATTTATTAATTTGTATTATTGATTTACTTGCAAAAAAACTAACTGATTTACAGGCGAATGAAAATTTATTTGAAACAAAAACTAATCTATATGGATCAGAAGTTGCAGTACAAATGATGGATATAAAATTGAGCTCTCTTCGATCAGAAATACCTTCTTCAGTAAGCAGTCATTCCACAACACTATTCACTGGACATGACTCTGAAAGTTCCTTCAATGTTAAAAAAACATCAAATGAAGCTGAGGTTTGTTTATGTTACTATCTTGACACAATTGTACTTTGGGTTACTTAATAAGTTTTTCTTATGCTCAAGCATAACTCCATGAATCCTAATAACAACCAAATTGTTTACGAAAATATACAAATATCAAGCACTCATGACCAAGATGTAAATAATCAAGAAATTGATAGTATTATTGTTGATAAGGTATTTATAATGAAGACAGTTATTTTATTTTGACATAATCTTTTAAACAATATTTGAAATTTTCATTACTATTGCAGATATCAGATTTGATATTTTCCAATTTAAATCTTGAGGAAATTTGGGATAAAGTTATGGAAAGATTAAAGCAAGAAAATTTGCGAGTGCAGTATGTTATAGTAATGATTTGTAACTGTATGCTTTTAACAAATAATATTCATTCTCCCACTCAATTACTAAAAAAATAAATCCAGATCCATTGAATCACGAATTGTAGACCTCTCAAATTGGAAGAAAGTTGATTGGGGCAGAATACTAGAAACATCAGATTATGCTCAATTGTTTAACGGGTCAAAGAGGAAATTATGTAAGAATTTAATTGACAAGGAAGTACAAAATTTGTTACGTGATGGATGTGGCCAAATAGTAAGTTATTTTTTTTTGTTTGTAGTTACCTTGCTTATAACATATTTATAGATTATTATTGTATTTTATAGAGATCATTAAATGATTTAAAATTATGGAAAGACAAATTCTCAATTTTAAAATCCGAAGATGCCCAATTAACTGCTGGAGTTATTGAATTTTTGTAAGTTATGGTTGAACATTTAAACAGAGCAAAATGGAAGGTCATTGAATTGTTTTTTATGGATACTAAATGGAATTTTATTTAGCCATCTCTGTTTACGGAGGGAAGTAAACATTCTTGTAATGCAACATCGGGAAAGAGATTACATTGTCAAGATACTAAGCCCAATTATTGGATTCATATTTGAAGAATTTGATGTTGGCACTTTCGAGCTAAACTGGTAAGTGTCAAAATTTTACATTGCAATGATCTATTATCATGTAGTTATCTGCAAAAATATCCGCAATCTCCAAATTGCTTTCTAAATAAGGATAACACGCACCCAACCCACCAATAAAAATTGATAACTACACAATTATCAATGATCTTCCAATAATATCAACTTTTAAAATTTTTTAGGATTGAAAAAGACTGTCGTAGTGTTACATGTAGAAAGCGAAAATTTGTACATGAAGAATATATGGAATTAGAACCACCATCGAAAAAGATGGATTTAATAATATCATTACGTTCATACAAGGTTGAATTATTGGTGCTTGAAGCAGGGAATACTGAAGGTCCCATGGATGATACCAAGTTCCGGCAAGATCATTCTAAAATCAAAATAGTAATGAAGGACTGTCTTGATTCCTTTTGGAATAAATTGCATTTTAAAAAAAATGAACTTAAAGAGGTTTTTGTAATGGGCATTCAAATTACAGGTATGTGTAAAAATGCATCTTATTTATTTGGTGCAATTTAAGTTTTTTCAGCTAAAATTTTTCTTATTTGGTATAGGCACAAGGTGGACGATCTATTCCCTTGTATACGATAATTCAAAAAAATTTTATTGTTTTACTGAGATGGCGACATTGACATTGCCAACAATTTTATCTGAGATGGAAGACCTTTTGCCAGATTTCCTGGAAAATCTTCTAGCATTACGGGTATATATACATGATATATTTTCCTTTCCAACCATTCCACCAATGTTCACATTATTTTGATATTTATTATTTAGCATACACAGATAGAACTGGTTGCAAAGATTCGAAAATTTTCTCAAAAAAGACTCTCTACTCCATCTCCACCCTCATCACCATTGCACGAAACTACAGTCTCTCCTTTGAAAAAACAAAAACTAAAGAAAGATCCTTTTCGTATCTTAGACAACTTATACTAAATAAGTCACTTGACAGTTCATTGTCATATATAATTTCAATGCGCATATTTTTTCATATCTAATAATATTTATTGTAAATTTTAATCTTGTGGATGGTTAAATAATCAATATTAAGCTTAACGTGTACATATATTATTATCTACATAAACAACAGAAGCGTATAAACTTTACTCAATAAGGACCAATTCTCAAAGTATCTTAAAATGATCACAATTTTTTCTTAGTGCTTGCTGTATTGGTGAAATAATTATATATGCGTTACAATTTGTAACATCGATCACTTTTGAAGAAAAAAATTTTTTTTTCAATTATAATTTTCACCCATGCAAAGGAGCAATATTTCTTTAATAAATTTTTTTTTGACGCCACTCTGTATGTTTAATATATAAATTAATCGATTGATCTAAATATGTCAATAATTGTGATTTTGAACTTACTTGGAGGGATTAGAAGCATTTTGAAGAGAAAAATTGAGCCTTATATTTTCAAAATAAATGATATTTAGACACTGGAAATTCATCTATATGAATTAGAAAATTAATAAGCATCAACACAAAAACCGTGAGGAACCTACATAAAAATAAAAGAAAATTGGAAGAAAAATAATTTACTAAATTTAGGTTAAATTATCAATTTGAAGACTATCTTTTAAATAGATGTGATAAAAAAAGAATTATGTGAATGGTTTTGGTTCTTTTATTCTTTTTTAGAAAACATGTTGATTAAATATAATTTACATCTCAACTGTTCCAAATTTTTAGCAACTAGTATTTATTTATTCGATATGTTGGTATATCTTACATTCAGTCATGAGGTGGAGTTGGCGGAGTAATGTAATATGGAAGTATTTTACGATGTTTACTTTTATCACTTGTTTAAATTGACAATGAAATAAAACGTTTTTGAACCTCGGTCTCGTGACCAGAAAATATCACTAACACGTTGTGTGACAAGCCTTTGATGATCCGAGGTAAAGGTTCCAATACAAGACCATCAGTTTTTGGTCATTTTGAACGGTCCGAAACGTCGGAGCAAGACGAAGACCTAACAGTAGACAGCGGTCGACACCATGCAAAAAACATCTAAAGCGAAGCATGATTTCCTTTCAGTCAAATATCTGTTTCGCTCAACCCTAACGTTTTGAACCAAAACAGATAACAATTGGGATTCACACGGTACTGTGACGTAAAATAACCATAGCCGTTTATCATTTTTTTGGAAAACGAAAATATTTCAAAATTTCAAATCAATTTGCAAACGACTCATCCCCAAAAATTCAGTTTACTAAAATTGAGAAACAGGACGTTTAGAATATTCGTGCTGATTCGTATCGTAACTGAACTGAACTGAATATTCTTTACAAATGAATTATTTCCTGTGCAACCAGACATTTCAAAATTGGGTAAAGTCGTTAGATTAGGGAAACATATATACAAAAAACAAGAAAATCATTATCATCATCCGCCACAAATATCGCTTTAACATAATCTGGCTCTTCATCTGATAAAACCAAACATTAATTATTAGTGCTATTATTATAACTATTTTCAATTATTGCTTACATAAAAATTTAGTATACATAAATTAATATATGCACTTACTACTTGAATACTTCTTTCTTTTTCCTTTTCCTTTTCCTTTTTCGTTTTTTTACAACATCACTTTTAATATTTGATAATGATGGTGGTGATGGCGACACTTCTGGACATCTATCTAGCTGTTATTTTTTTAGAGATCTCATGTTTGCCAGTTTCTATATCTTTTAAGTTTTGTAAGATCTGACCCACCAATAATTTCTTTTTCGCTTTAAATAATCTGCATCATCTTCATCTATACTTCCTTCTCGCTCACACCAAGAAATTCAATATCAGTAGAAGACAGGCCCAATTGATATTTATGTCCGATCTAATAAATAAATAAATGACAAATATTAATATGTAATCTTTAAAGAAAAAGACTAGAATAAGAAAGATTAATCACATGGATGATAATATTTTTGATCCACTTTGAACTTTCTTTTTCTTATCTCATCTAAAATACCAGTTTTTTTTTGTCTATCGGATCTAAATATAAGTCTCTCCTCTTCAATCAAATCAGTTATAGGTTCAATTGACTCTTCCCCAAGCAAAAACGGATAATCTTTATTTATTCTGCAATAATATGTTGGTGGTATCTGACGCAAATAAGGGTCCCCTTCTCTATTTGATATTTCTTGTATATATTTTCTTCTTTTGTTTTCATGTTTCTCCTTTTGTTTTTGTATTTTTTGTAATTCCTTTTCTTTGGATTTGGCTTGTCGTCTAGTTAATATTTTGTTATTGTTTATATCATTTGTCTCTGATATTTTATCAACTCCCTCTAATTTGTTCAACTTTATTTTTAATTCTAAAATTTTCATTCATATTAGTCATCGTAATTATTGTTATAATTAAATTATATGTTAAACGATAAGTGTGACAAGTATGATATATGATATATCATTCATTACCTTCTAAATCTTCTTCTCTGTCAACTAAATGTTCTAATAATCATAATATTATAAATAACTTTTTTTTTCTCAAAGTAAATAAATAATGTAAGTAAATGTACTTTACCTGTTTTAGAAGAATTCACAGGATCCGGTAAATCATCAAAGCTGTACATTTTACAAGTATAGCATGCTTTAGGATCTGCTTTAAGTTGTAGAAGATAAGGTAATCTTTTATATAGATGCTTATTGAACATTTCTAATCCATCATCAAGCTCCTCGTGATCGAGTAAATAATTGCACAGATCGTTATCTAATTTAACATAATTCTTAAATATTACTTCAAAATGATCGTCGAACAATTCCGTAGAAGTGGGTCTTTTCTTAGGATCAGCATCCCAGCACCTTATAATCAAATTTATCAATGTTCTAGGCAAACTTGAAATAATTTTCGGTCGTAATCCAAGACAAATATCCTTTGCTAAATTTTGATCGTGCGCACGATATCTTAAAGGCTTCTCTTGATGTAGGATCTGCCACATAATTATGCCAAATGCATAAACATCAGATTCGAATGTGAATGGTTCACCATGTAAAATTTCTGGCGCTAAATAGGGCAACACTCCATAGACGTGCGTGGGTGATACAGTTGTGGATGATGATGCAGTTGTTGTTATTGACGAGTCTCTATAGAACGGGTGCGTTATTCCAAAATCAGTAAAGTAAATGTTGTGAAACACATCTAATAAAATATTGCCTGCATGTAAATTCTTATATACTAAGTCATTACTGTGGAGGGATTTTAATGTTCTTGTGATTTGGTACAATTGTCTTAGTTTAGTGATTGGTGATATCACCTTATCACAATACCAGACATTTAATGTATTTTCAATATATTCATGTTCATTATATACTATGACATAGTTTTTTGTTACGGGATTCTTGCTGAATCCACATATATAGTTTACATTCTGAACTTCTTCAATTTTTTGCAAAATCGATTCTGCTTTCTCAATCTTAAAATTAATTATCAATATATATTAATTATTTGTTTATTTGAATGCAATAATATAAAATTATAAAATTATTTCTCTTCAAAAAATCGCTTACCTCCTCCAAAAAATCATCACTTAACCTAGTGGCATGTAATTCCTTTAATGAAACAGTTATACTTAAATTATCATATCTTTTCCATCCATCATTTGCTACATCTCTTTTCAGTATGGGTTTCCACTGTGCTGTATAAACAGTTGAGTAGTATCCACGTGCTTGAATTTTCACATTAACAAAGCTTTCAAATGGAATCCATTCAATAATTTCT